ATGCTGACGCCCAAAGTCACAGATGGGGTCCAGGGCTACGCGGCCCAGGTCCCGGCCCACCCGCCACCTGGCGCTGCAGGCAGCTCCGTTAGGCCGCGCGGACTCCACGTGGTTCTGCAGCCTTCCCGAGTGCTGGGCACGGCTAATGCTGTGCCAGGCAAAGACGGGTGCCACCCCGGCCTGGAACCGTGGCTGCGGAGGACGCCTCGGAGACAGCCATGTGGCCAAAGACGGCAAACGCCCAGGGAGGACAGCACGGGACGGGAGGAAGAAGGACCGGGTTTGCCAGCACCGCCAGCAAGGCCCCGGGAGCCGGGAGGGCGGCCCGGGCCGGTCTCTTTCGCAGCTCTCAGAAGGGTCCAACTCCCCCCCGGGTCCTTGATCTCGGACGTCTGGTCCCCAGAGTGTGAGGACAATGTTTCCGTCCCTTAAGCCACTCTGTGATGCTTTTGTTACAGCAACTCCAGCAAATCTATAAAGATTCTGTAGAGCGTTCCCTGTCCAACTCCTTCTTCCAGTTGTCAATCACGCTTCCCGCATGGAAGGCAAAGCTGGAAGAAGAAATGGCGAAGCGCAGGACTCCCTGGGCGAGCGCTACCAGAGAGGTCCCTCCAGACCCGCCTCCCACGCGCCGCCGATCCTCCGCAGTGCATGCTGGGGCTTGTAGTTCCGGCGTGCAGAGTCCTGCGCGCGCATCCCCAACCGCCGGGCGACTTCCTCTTCAGCCGCGGCTTCCGGAAGCTAAGCAAGTTAAAGTTCAACGCTTCCTTTCCCCGCCTCCTAGTCCCGCAGACTGACAACGCAAGCAGCTAATAGGTGGCCTGACTGGCGCTTCCTTTTACCCGATTGGCTTAAAGTTTTGCAGCCGCCCCGATAAATTTGCCGGGGATTGGTGGAGCCTTCAGTTTTGAAAATTCTAGATTTCGCCCGCCCAGCGCGGCCCATTGCTTCCCCGGAGCCGTGAGCCTCAGCGTTTGGGAGCTGAGGGTCTGGGCGGTCGGGGGCCTCGTCTAGGGAGGTCGCTGGACTTGGACCTGA